ATGTGCCTACACCAGCTTTCACTGGAGCTTTAAAAGCATAGTTCACCCAAAAATGTAAACTTGGTCGTATACTCACCCATGTTGTTTCTCCCCATATTATTTTTATCATGAGATATTATAGGAAGATATCCAAGCTGGATAAGTGGATAAGTACAAAAAAAAAAAAGCATCATTAAAGCACAATAAATATAAGTCAAAATTTAAGACATCTTTTGGTTATAAAATTTGGTTATCATTTGTTATACTAAAATCTCATTCATGCACTGTAAGAATAATAATAAAAAAATGTAATGTAATAATGTCCTGACAGAATTATGTTTTCTGTTTATGGACATTTACTTCAACCCTAAAACACAACACAATGCAATGCATAATTCAAAATACAGGAAAAACACTTCCTCGCATAAATATGGTTCATTGGGCCTTATTTTCACAGATTTTTCTTAGAATATTTTTGTGTTCAGTTAAAAATAGCTATTAGATGTGGTTGGTTTTTGCACATCATGTGACCTATCATGATGCTGCAAATGTGACAAAGACAAATCAGTTATGGCAGAACGGCAGACAATAATTTCAATTCAGAATTTTAGTATATGATATTATCATAGGGAATATATTATAAAGTCATAGGGAACACTTTAAGGGTGCTTTATAATGTTTTTTTTGTTTGTTTTTGTCTCACTTAGTGTATATCACCAGAAATCTTTTTTGGTTTTATTGAACCACTATAGAAATAAGATGGAATCGGAGCAACATGATGGTGGGTAAACGATGACAAAATATACATTTTTGGTTGAACATTTCTTCAGTTAAAGAGGTTTAATGCCTGTTCACACCAGAAAAGTACAATAACTACTTTAGCATCGCCAATGGACAATCATGTTCTGTTTATTCATTCTGTGAACATACTAATCGCAGGAAATGCATTCAAGTAGGATGGAATTTGATTGGCTGTCAATGTTTTATTGACAGCCAGTCAAATTCCATCCTACTTGAAAACACCAAATCATTCATCAGCTGGAAAAAAAAATGCTCTTAATGATATCTTTCCTCTGCGTCTTTATCGTTATTGTTGTGTTGTAGACTATTTTCTTAGAGTTAAGGCCTGAGCACTCCAAGGATGGTAACTGTAGCAATAACTTTAACTGTAAAGTTTAATAACCATTCTAATACTGTGAAAATAGGGAAGTCCACACCACAACTATAATGATAATGACACAGAGGAATGATATCAATTTTAAAACTTTTTTTTCTTTTTTTTTTGCAGCTGATGAACAATAAAAACATTGACAGTCGATCAGAATCCATCCTGCTTTAAAGAACTCAAGCATTTAAATCGGCAGACGACAAAAATGCTGTGCACACGTATAATAAACAAAACTTTTTCGTCCGCTATATTTTAGAGAGCTAAATGTATCTTTAGAGCTCATCAGCATAAATGCATGATTGATTCTCAGAACGACCGGCCAATCAGAGTAGCTTTCTAACAGTTTATTATCTCGAATAATCAGACTGAAAAATCACAGACAATGCCTTGTGATTGAGCCTCATAAAGACTGATTCTTGTGATAACACAATAGAGCCGAGACCACACACACATCCGTCTGAGTCTATATGTCTTCAGGGAATGTCAGCCCCTGTGTCATGGCACTCGTTTATCTACTCTATCACTCTGAGAGAGAGAGAGAGAGAGAGAGTCTGAGATAATGAAACCATGTCTCTGAATATGATGGACGATCAGAAGAAATGTGAAATCTGAGCATGCTCTGCCCGTTCTCTCTCTTTTCGTCCGCCTGCAGATAAACCACAAAGTGTGGAGACGAGAGACAAATGAAAGAGCTAAAGAAAGGAAACAAGATACTTCTAAAATGATTTTTACTTTTTGAATGCATGTTCCTCAACTTATTGTGCACGATTTATTGGAACATGTTATGCTAAATAAAAAAAATAATAAAAAAATCTCCATAATCCTCAGTAACACTTTAGATTAGTTTTCCCTCAATAAACTCCTAATTTGCTGCTTGTTTGGTAGTAAGGTAGTTGTTGTGGTAGTTATGTTTAGGTACTGGGTAGATCAGCCAAATATTGTCCTATCCTAACAAACCATACATCGATGTAAATCTTATTTATTCAGCTTTCATGTGATGTATAAATCTCAATTTCAAAAAACTGACTGGTTTTGGGGTCCAGGGTCACATATATCTCATTAAATATCTAGTTTCAAGCAATTTCATTGGATTGACCGACTGTTTTCTACACTGACATTAAGAAATGTTTCTTGAGCAGCAAATCAGCATGATTTCTGAAGGATCATGTGACACTGAAGACTGGAGAAATTCAGCTTTGCCTCACAGGAATAAATTACATTTTAAAATATATAAGAATAGAAAACATTAAATTGTAAATTGTTTAAATTATAATAATTTTTCACAGTTTTTACTGTATTTTTGATAAAATAAATACAGCTTTGGTGAGCATAAGAGACTTTTGAACAGTAGTTTTGATCATTACATCAAAGCCAACCTGTGATGTTTCTGATCTCTGGCCTACTTTATAAGTACTAATAAACAGCCAATATGCTAGTAATATGCATGCTAATAAACAAGTAATTAATAGTGAATAGTGTTCCCTAATCTAAAGTGTTACCTAATCCTCTATCAAAATTACAGTATATATGTGAGCCTGGAGCACAAAAGCAGTCTTAGATCATGTGACACTGAAGACTGGAGAAATTCAGCTTTGCCTCACAGGAATAAATTACATTTTAAAATATATAAGAATAGAAAACATTAAATTGTAAATTGTTTAAATTATAATAATTTTTCAGTTTTTACTGTATTTTTGATCAAATAAATACAGCTTTGGTGAGCATAAGAGACTTTTGAACAGTAGTTTTGATCGTTACATCAAAGCCAACCTGTGATGTTTCTGATCTCTGGCCTACTAATATTCATCATTTTTTGTTTCTAAGCATATCTATATCTAACAGGTTGTTTTTTCCTCTTTAGTTCATGTTGAAAAAGCTGGGTTGCTCCATCATGGGGGCCGCCATGTTGAGATCACGTGACTAAACTTTATTTGAACTTACAGTACCTCAAACGTTGACGTTTTCCAGAGAACATCGACTTGATATGTTGTGCTTTGGTCAAACATCATGTAAACCTCATGGCTGCTCCAGATGCTGATGCTGTTGTATTGGCTGTTTAGAAAAATGAATAAAAGTTACTTAATTGGAGTATAACAGAATGTGCTATTGGATGACACACAGCTGCTCCATATGTGATTATCTTCACCCGGTTGTGCTCTACACACACACACACACACATACACACACACACATAGAGATGTTTAATTGCGTCATTAAGGCCACTCACATGTGAGGGATGGAAAAATGCAGTGTTTTTCACACAAATTATTCCCCGCTGACCGCGTCTCTAACATCTGCTATTACGCGCGCGCGCCCTCTCTCTGACTCTCTCTCTCTATCTGCGCGTCTGTTATTCTTTGGTCTTATCTTTGCACTCGTTCCTCATGACATGATCAGCAGATGAAGAGTGTCTCTGCCTGTGTCCTTTTCTTTCTTTCCAAGTTTTCCTCTCTCTGATGTACCGTCTCCAAAGCAGCCATTGTTTATTTCCATTTCATCTTCGTCTTTCTTTTCATGTCTTTTTTGTGTCTCTCTCATCTTTTGTTCCTTCAGTGGATGAACATTGTGTTGGAGGTTGATGTTTTTCTTATCTGTAGAGGAACAGACTTGGATTTGTGAAGCTGCACACACATACGCACTTCCAGTTTTCATTTCCTTATGAGTGGTAGTGTCCGTGTCACGCTGAGTAAAATCATCCATAATTTTTCATTTTTTAGAAAGCACATTAATTAGATTGCCTATTATTGTTCCTGTCAAGAGCACATTTACGCTGCTTTAAAGTGCTGTCTAGTAGGCAGCTCACTATGTTTATAACAGCTCTAATAATGAGCGATCCTCACATGAGGAGAGAGATGGAGATGGACAGTGATTCATCAGGGCTCTTGGCCTTCCGCTGTGTGTTCAGTGTGCGGTTTCCATTAAGAGGAAATGAAATATTGTGTTGAAAAGCTCTGTATGTTTCTCTCTTCAAGCTCTTTGCCAGCTAATTAAAATCTTTAGGTTGTATGAATATATATATTTTTTGTTGGTCTTTCTTTTTGAAACAATTTTTACTGTGCAAAATGTAGTGTCACACAGGCCACGTACACAAATAAATACAGCTTTGGTGAGCATAAGAGACTTTTGAACAGTAGTTTTGATCATTACATCAAAGCCAACCTGTGATGTTTCTGATCTCTGGCCTACTAATATTCATCATTTTTTGTTTCTAAGCATATCTATATCTAACAGGTTGTTTTTTCCTCTTTAGTTCATGTTGAAAAAGCTGGGTTGCTCCATCATGGGGGCCGCCATGTTGAGATCACGTGACTAAACTTTATTTGAACTTACAGTACCTCAAACGTTGACGTTTTCCAGAGAACATCGACTTGATATGTTGTGCTTTGGTCAAACATCATGTAAACCTCATGGCTGCTCCAGATGCTGATGCTGTTGTATTGGCTGTTTAGAAAAATGAATAAAAGTTACTTAATTGGAGTATAACAGAATGTGCTATTGGATGACACACAGCTGCTCCATATGTGATTATCTTCACCCGGTTGTGCTCTACACACACACACACACACACATACACACACACACATAGAGATGTTTAATTGCGTCATTAAGGCCACTCACATGTGAGGGATGGAAAAATGCAGTGTTTTTCACACAAATTATTCCCCGCTGACCGCGTCTCTAACATCTGCTATCTATTACGCGCGCCCTCTCTCTGACTCTCTCTCTCTATCTGCGCGTCTGTTATTCTTTGGTCTTATCTTTGCACTCGTTCCTCATGACATGATCAGCAGATGAAGAGTGTCTCTGCCTGTGTCCTTTTCTTTCTTTCCAAGTTTTCCTCTCTCTGATGTACCGTCTCCAAAGCAGCCATTGTTTATTTCCATTTCATCTTCGTCTTTCTTTTCATGTCTTTTTTGTGTCTCTCTCATCTTTTGTTCCTTCAGTGGATGAACATTGTGTTGGAGGTTGATGTTTTTCTTATCTGTAGAGGAACAGACTTGGATTTGTGAAGCTGCACACACATACGCACTTCCAGTTTTCATTTCCTTATGAGTGGTAGTGTCCGTGTCACGCTGAGTAAAATCATCCATAATTTTTCATTTTTTAGAAAGCACATTAATTAGATTGCCTATTATTGTTCCTGTCAAGAGCACATTTACGCTGCTTTAAAGTGCTGTCTAGTAGGCAGCTCACTATGTTTATAACAGCTCTAATAATGAGCGATCCTCACATGAGGAGAGAGATGGAGATGGACAGTGATTCATCAGGGCTCTTGGCCTTCCGCTGTGTGTTCAGTGTGCGGTTTCCATTAAGAGGAAATGAAATATTGTGTTGAAAAGCTCTGTATGTTTCTCTCTTCAAGCTCTTTGCCAGCTAATTAAAATCTTTAGGTTGTATGAATATATATATTTTTTGTTGGTCTTTCTTTTTGAAACAATTTTTACTGTGCAAAATGTAGTGTCACACAGGCCACGTACACAGTGATTTATTTCTAATAAATGCTTTATTTATTATAAATTCATAGTTGCACCATTAATTAATGTAATATAATAATAATTTTGGACTTTTTTGCAAGAAATGAATACTATTATTCAGCAAGGATGCATTAAATTGATCAAAAGTGATAGTAAAGACATTTTTAATGTTACAAAAGATTCCGATTTTCGGTATTGATAATGTCGTTAAAATGCATTATATCATTTGAAGGGTTGTTTTTTGTGTTTTAATGCATTACAATTTCTGAAGGTGTAACAATGTATAAATAAGTGTTATAACTGTGATTACAATTATTCATGAGATCAATGCATTATAAGGCATAATTTATGCATTAATACTACTTTTTAATGCATTATATATAACGCCTTTAATACATTCTTACCAAGATTCGTATTTCAAATAAACTTTCTCTTCATTAAATAATCCTGAAAAAATGTAGCAATTAAGCAGCACAACTGTTTTCAACATAATATTACTGAATATTAATTGTCTTTTAATTATGATATTACTGAAGTATTCTGAAATTTTTTTTTTTGCATTACAAAAATGAGAATAAGTTTTTGTGCATTGCTGTATTGAGAATGTCACAGTGCAACCTTTTTTTAATGATTTTTCCTTTTTGTTTATAAGAGCACTATATTTTTTATTTTTAAATTTGGTGCAGAATGTATTCTTGACGGTTCTGTTGGATTCACCCAAGCAGATGGGATGCTTTTCTAGTTAATAATGTGACAATGAGATGTCTTGGAATTCACCAACCGTAACAATCAGTCAGTGTGGAGTGGTAAATAAGTGAGAGTGATTTTCTCGCGGAGCTGTTAGTAACACATGTGGCATGTGGGAATCTGAGCAATGATGTTGTGTTTGTCAGTCCTATAAAGACTGTGAAATATGTTTCCTAATTGGACCGGTCCTCTAACCACTAAGTGCCTTATGTTCTGCTCTGCTATGTGCAGCGCTGCACATTCTACTGTGTGTGTGTGTGTGTGTGTGTGTGTGATGATTCACTCACATGTGTGTGTCTCTGTCAGTGTGTGCTGTTTTGGCTAGGTGGCGCTGTGTCTCTGAGTATGATTAACAGTTGTTCCTGTCTGCTGTCAGCCATTTCGGCATGTAATTTCTGACTGGGATTTTCACATCTCCTGTGACCGCCCACATGAAATCTGCACGCTCTTTTCATGTTTTCTGCTCTGACTGGGGAAGATATGTACAAAATGGATTTAAACAGATGATCTGAAATGTGGGGGACAGGTTAAAAACTATTTCCGCTTGGCTCATGAATATTAACTAGGCAGCACAATGTTTTCCCAGTAGGTGAAATGATTTGCTGAAAGGTGGATTTTCGCATAGCCATCTGCATAACAGTTTGTTCACTGCTAGTGCAACTGGTTGGCAGAGGCTTTTAAAGTTTTACATGGCAGTTTTGTTTGTTTTCACACATTGGCTACTTTGCCTAATATTTGTGTGTTCAGTGTCTTTTATGAGTGGAGATTGAGCATTTGCAGTGGCAGCTCCAAAACATTGAAATAATTTATGATTATACTAAAAATTAATTTTGTAAATTTTTGCGTGCAGATGCCAATGTTGTAAAAATGATCCCCGTTCACACAGATCCACAAAAATGACTAAAAACGGCATATTATGCATGCCAGGCCAGTAGTTGGCGATGTTACTTTATAATGAAACACTACACAGTACTGCACATATGCATTCCTATAGACTGAACACGTTATACATGAGCCATGACGTCACTGTTTTCACAAATTTGTATTTTCATCATTTACACAGAGATGATAACAGTATTATTTTCAAAATAAGATTGCACTTTGAAACCTGTTTTCAAAACTTTGTGCTTTCAGGCTCCCAAAACATCATTGTTGATATAAAGAATGGCCAAAACGCATACAAAGTTTTTTGTTTTTTAATTGAAAACAGCGTTTAACTGTAAACACCCCCTCAGATTAGGCGGTTTTAGGCGCAATTTAAAAGAATTACTGTTTGACAGATCAATTTAATTACATCTTGGAGTTTTATTTTATTCTATTTTGTGTTATTAGTGTTTTTATTGTTATGTGTGTGTATGTGTGTGTGTGTGTTTTAATGGTTGTGATTGTTTTTGTAAGTGGGCCTTAAAATGTACAGCACTTTAGTCAATAGACTGTTGTTAAACGTTCAGCAGTTCCAAACCTGTATTTCTTTCAGCTGTTAGACACAAAAGACGGTATTTTGTAGAATGCTTATAACCGAACAGTTGACGGTAGCCACTGACTTCCATGGTATGGCAGTAAATACTATGGAAGTCAAGGGCTACTGTCAAATGTTTGGTTACCAACATTCACTTGAGGGTAAGAAAATTATGACAGAATTTTAATTTTAAAAGCACTGAGAGCCAATCAGAATCCATTCTACTTGTCATGCATTTAAAGGAGTAGTTCACTTTCAGAATGAAAATAATTTACTCACCCTCCACTTGTTCCAAACCTGTATGAGTTTCTTTCTTCTGTTGAACACAAACGGAGATATTTTGAACAATGTTGGTATCCGAACAGTTGATGAGCACCATTGACTTCCATAGTATTTTTTTTTCCTACTATGGAAGTCAATGGTGCTCATCAACAGGTTTTGGAACAAGTGGAGGGTGAGTAAATAATGACAGAATTTTCATTCTGGATGCGAACTATTCCTTTAAAGTGGCAGAGTGTGTGTTTATAATAAATGTTCTCATTTGTTGGTGTGGACGCTAATATAGTTATCATTATAGTTATCTTTATATTTGTGACCCTGGACCACAAAACTTTTTTTTGAAACTGAGATTTATACATCATCTGAAAGCTGAATAAATAATGTATGGTTTGTTAGGATAGGGCAATATTTTGCCGAGATACAACTATCTGAAAATCTGGAATCTGAGGCGGCAAAAACAAACAAAAAAAACAATTCAAAATATTGAGAATATCGCCTTTAAATTCGTCCAAATTAAGTTCTTAGCAATGCATATTACTAATCAAAAATGAGTTTTGGCATAAAAGTAAAATCGATAATTTTGACCCATACAATGTATTGTTGGCTATTGCTACAAATATAACCGTGCTACTTATGACTGGTTTTGTGCTCTAGGGTCACATTTTTCATTCTTGTTGTGAACAGAGTTTCATGTTGTTAGCTTAGCCAGGTTAGCGACATAAACTCAGTGGGTTGAGTTTCCCGCACTTCACGCATCATGTTAGGAGCTTTCCTATTCATTCTCTTACTGTATGAGGTTCTGTATCAGGTAAGATGTTGCCTTATAAGGCAGACATCAAGACAGTTTGCTTGGTTTTGGAACGGAGCCCTAAATGGTCACTCTTCCTCTCACCCAAACGCACGTTCTTTGGTTTTGTCTTTTCCAGCCGTCACCCCTCTCTCCGTGTGTCGGGGTGAGGGGGGGGTGTTACTCAGGACCCCAGTAACAGGTTTGATTGGAAAGCATTTGCCCCCGGCAACCAATCCGTCGCTAGCACCACACAGGCTGTTACCATGGCAACCTAAGGGGGCAGGAGGTGTAAATGGGATGATTTGGTCCATCGAGTGAGAGCAACAGTGTGTGAGAGAGAGTTTGGGGGAAGATGGAGAAAATGAATGAGTTACACTGAAATGGAAATCTATCTATCTATCCATCTATCCATCTATCCGTCTGTCTGTCTGTCTATCTGTCATGACAATTATATGGTCAAACTTTAGTTTGGGGACCAATTCTCAGTATTATACTCTATATATACTCTCTCTGTCATGCACTAACAGTGAACTGCACTCGCTGATAGCAATGTTTATTTGCATGCGAAGTCTGCTTTGTTTTAGCAGCCGATTCACTGAAGGAATTATGCAAATCGTATAACGGCACAAACGACCAAAAATTAGTGCTGAATACAATTTGCACGCTGCAGTTCCCTATCTTACAGAGCGGATTTGAGTGCAACGTTATAGAGGATGCAGCAGTAGACTACAACGGCCACCTGAACCTGCTCTTTAAAATGCTGAAAGTGCTGTCAGCTGCACAGAGCTTTGGACACGTGCCCAGTTTTCAGCTCATCTCTATCATTTCATCATCATTTTGATGTATGACTGCAGCCACAATTGGTAGAAAATGCTAATTTGTGTATTGCTTGCTTGCTTTTCACAGGCTGTATTTGCATCATGTTAATTTTTTGCCTAGCAAAGAGTTTAATTAGCATATAAAAGAGTGTGTTTGTGCTAATATGATAATGACTTAATTTAAATACTCATGGCAGCAGATTTCGCTTGGTTAACTTGGATTGTGAGCGGTTAGTGAATGGAAAAGGATTTTACTCTGAAATACCACAGTAAGAAACTGTTTAGTGAATTCACTC